TTAGTTTCTGTGTTGCTACAACGTGTAAAACTGAGATTGTAACAACTTTAGTAGACTTGTTAGTTTCTGTGTTGCTACAACGTGTAGAACTGAGATTGTAACAACTTTAGTAGACTTGTTAGTTTCTGTGTTGCTACAACGTGTAGAACTGAGATTGTAACAACTTTAGTAGAGTTGTTAGTTTCTGTGTTGCTACAACGTTGGAAACTAACAACTCCACTAAAGTTGTTACAATCTCAGTTCTACACGTTGTAGCAACACGGAAACTAACACGTCCACTAAAGTAGTTACAATCTCAGTTCTACACGTTGTAGCAACACGGAAACTAAAGTTGTTACAATCTCAGTTCTACACGTTGTAGTAACACAGAAACTAACACGTCTACTAAAGTTGTTACAATCTCAGTTCTACGTTACCACAAGTCCAGCGTTTGTTATTACTTCTCCTGTCATCATTCCAGGTTAACCTCCTCAAAACAAAATATTGAAATTGACCAGTTCTTCGATCATCGGATAAGATCATTGGCAGTAGTAAAGTTTCAGCATGGATTTTCTCCACCATTTCGGTTTTGATCTCGAAGATTTTTTACACGTGTCATGCTTAGATCTATCTCGAAATTAATCAGTCATGACTCTCTAAGACAGCCGCGTATTCAAATACTTTATAAGTACAACCCTAAAATCACTTAAGCGGAAAATAATTGAGCGACATGTTAAAGCTTTTAGGTTATCATACGAACTCCTGGTGTCTAATCAGAGAAAGAATGGATACCATTTGACAATAACAATAAAACAAAGGTCTCTCTTCAGATTTCAATCAGAGCTGCCATTGTTAAGACACGAGAGAGCACGCGATACACCTGTTCGTGGAAAAATCCTTTCCTGACTAACTTATTATATTGCAAGTTTATCTTACCCATGAGATTCAAGATAACCGTGCTGAATGAACTATTGCTTGTTGGGATCCGATTCATTAAAACGGGGAATAAAAGACGCGATCAGACGAACTGTCGTCGTCACTACAAACAAGATGTGGGGATTCTTTGTCTACAATATGAATAATTCAAATCGTTTTACGTCCCAGACTGTAAACTCAAATGCTCGGTTTTAAAATGAACAAACAACACTCACTTTTTTTTTCGTCCGCCATATTTAATAAGTACAAATACAGCGGCAGAATGTTCTAGAAAAACAGAAATGTTAAATTAAAAACAAGAATACGTTTTGTAATTTCACATAACACAGGTACGTATATAAGAAGACGAGGCTTAGTTTGTAATTTCATATAACACAGGTACGTTTAATATAAGAAGACGAGGCTTAGTTTTGTAATTTCATGTAACACAGGTACGTTTAATACAAGAAGACGAGGCTAAGTTTTGTAATTTCATGTAACACAGGTACGTTTAATATAAGAAGTCGAGGCTTAGTTTTGTAATTTCATATAACACAGGTACGTTTAATATAAGAAGACGAGGCTTAGTTTGTAATTTCATATAACACAGGTACGTTTAATATAAGAAGACGAGGCTTAGTTTTGTAATTTCATATAACACATGTACGTTTAATATAAGAAGACGAGGCTTAGTTTTGTAATTTCATGTAACACAGGTACGTTTAATATAAGAAGACGAGGCTTAGTTTTGTAATTTCATATAACACAGGTACGTTTTGTACGAGAAGACGAGGCTTAGTTTTGTAATTTCATATAACACAGGTACGTTTTGTACGAGAAGATGAGGCCTAGTCTCATAACTCTATAAAGAAAACCGTTCTGCGGGTGCTGCCTCCCTCTGGTGATTAACAATTTAAATGATTTACTACTGCCTCCCTCTAGTGATTAACAATTTAAATGATTTACTCCATGGTAGTAGAGTAGTCTATACAAAACTTCTTAAATAGTGGCGTGTTTAGTTTGAAAATTATCAACTCACATTTAATGTGAGAAAATTACAAAAATTACGTCCGTATAAACAGAAGACGTTATTTGCCAGTGAATATTATATCTTGATATATTTGTAGATGTATATGTATAGACAGTAAGTTTTCAAATGTTTCTCTACTGCAACCCTTTAATTAAAGTTTTATAAGCGAAATGTCGTGGAATAAATTATAAGTTTTTTTTTATGGATGCTGTAGCAGGATGGTCTTAACATTGAAGTGAAATATGTTATTTCCTTAAACGGAAGCTCGCAGAAAACACTGAAACTTTATATATGTGTCTAAATAAGAGAAATAAAAATAGTTTCTAGTTAAAGCCTTTTGAAGATTAGAAACCTAACACAAAGAGTGCGCTTTGAAAGGTAGGTTCTGGGGTTAATGTCAACAACGAGGAAACATAACCCTTAATGTTATTCAACCCCTCGGGGGAACACGTCTCTTCAAACATACCAATCTTCTTTCTTGTCTGTTTCACTGTTCGAAACAAAGGCTACGAGTTTAAGACTAAATATGTATCACGAGATATTGTGGCGGCCATTTTTGTTATTCCCGGGAGATTGGTTTCGACAAGTGTTAAGCCTAATACGTTCCATTGTTCAGACTGTTAGTGAGCTAACGTTCCCGAAGCTCTTTTGTAAAGCGTGGAATTCATCAATCTGTCTTTGTATTCTGATTTCTGATAGTTTTTAACAAAAGATTCTCACCTTAAGTCAATGAACTCACGAGAATCATAAGGCAATATCTAACAGTTTTAACTAAACGAAGTCACCGTGATAACTTAGAAATGGTTTTTTCTGTCCCTCCAGGTGGCATATTTCAGTTGCTTTTGTTTTCTTTCGGTAACTTTCACTTTCTGATTCAACCCTAAAACACAAGTGGGTAATATAATAGACAATCTAACAGAAGAAGGCTTCGGAATATCATAATTTGTTCGAAACAAAGTCATTTAAAACGAGCCAATCATTTTAAAACATAGCAACTAAATGATAAAGATAATGTATTGTTGAAGATAAGCCTAAAACGTTGGTGCGTGAGACACACCTCGAGGGTATTTCAGGTTATTACCTCAAAATGTGTACCGTAGTAAACCCTGGTATACGGTATTAGGATCGTTCAATGCATTGTTTACTCTCGTTATCCATCTTTGTTATACAAACGTTTTTTTTGTTGTTTGTTTAACTCTACCATAATTTACATAAATAAAAATGGATAAATGTTAGTTTGATTTTTTTTATTGATTGGTAAGAAATGAATTACACAGCGAGAGAAAGTAGAGCAGTTTTATCAGATTAAAATCACAAAGTTGAAATGTAAACCCCCTCACACCTTATACGTACACTTATACTAAGCCTAAACACGAGGATTCTTCATTTGTTACATATGTATAAAAGGAGCCACGTTCAACCGGGCAAGCAGCCAA